CACTTTATGATGGTCAAGAGATTGCATTCGACTTATGTAAGTCATGTCAACCTTGCTTTGCTGAAAAGTTCAACTTTTCAATAACGACTAAAACAAGCTTTATTCGTAAGTTGAAGTTCTGAGGTCATTTATTTTTGTCAGCAATGAGGTCATTTGTGATAAAAATAAGCCGCTAGCGGCATGGGCGAAGCCTATGTGGTCATTTACAATACAGCTATTGTAGAGTTTAACAATTGTGCTTCAATGTATAAACAATCTTTCCCATCTGGAGGTAAGAACACTGGGCACTTATGGTCATGAGTGGAGAACATGTCTATCCAAAACTCACGATTGAAGCCAGTAAGCTTGTAATACTTAGGATTTGACAGTGGTGAAGTTCTTGTATGACCAATGAACTCATTTTCAACTCCCTTACTTAAGTTTGAATATAATATAGCTTGCTTTCTATCCCAAATGCCAGGTGTTACAATCTTTGAAAATTCATTTTTCCTCGGAAGTATTGCATCATAATTGAAAACATTCTTGAAGTCTTCATTGGGTTCAGAGATTTGAAACCTTATACGTAATGGATTTTCTTTCTTTTTAGCGACTTCATTGAATGGTGAATATATAACAAACTGACAGTCATGAGTTCCATCTTCATTTTCATTAAATTCATAATGAAAGTCTATAAGTTGTGGCTGACTACCTTCTTCTTTCAGTTGTGCAAGAAACTCACGTAAAGGCTGTAAAGTTTGTACTTCAATATTGAACTTTTTCTCGAACATCTCATTAAATGAAATCATACATTGCAACAATGTTGTATCGTCTTTAAAGTATTTGTATATGTGAATGTTTTGGGCGCTTAAAGACTGTTCGTCATTTTCTATCTCGACTTGAAGTATAAAGTCAACCTTTCTGAAAGCACGTGTTATATACATAGATGTTATGCCAATGTACTTCTCTTCATTTATGTTCACAATCCAGTCTGTTGGAAACTTAAACGTTACTCTGTTCCCCTTTATTTTGACGTCAGGGTTTTCACTACTGAACGCAACAGATAAAGGTATTTGTCTATACATTTAGTTTGGATAAAAATAAACCATTTACTCTTTCTTTGCTTCAGCTTCCTTTGCTTTTTGTTCTTCCTTTGCTTTTGCTTCTTCTCTAGCTTTTTTCGCCAGCAAACGTGGGTTCTTCTGTCTTCCAGCAGCTAATGCAGCTAGTTGTTTTTCACTAAGTTTTCTCTTTGGTCTCTCTGGCTTTTGTTCTGGTTTTTGTTCCTTCAGTTCGGATAAAATTTGTTCACGAATTTCTTTCTTCAATGCTTCAACATCTATGACCCCTTGGGTCTTGTCCGTAGGATTTGACTGAGTCATTTGACTGTAGATAAAAAACTAAATTAAAACTTTAACCGATGTAAAATGAGCTTGTCAAAATCAGAACGAGAGTCTATTATATTAAATGACGCCAGAGGAATACAACATCCTTTCTATTATGTAAGTCAGAGTAAAGATGGTAAAATATATGTAAGAAAAAGAAAGGTTCCATTAGCGAATACAGAGAGCGACAACATTAAGGTGCATGGCAAGGGCGAAGCCCACGAAGCCCATATAAAACCTTCTGTACAAACTGAGCCACCAAAAGAACAAGAAGAAAAGAAGCCAGATGTACTTTCAATAACGAACCAAGAGCTTATTGCAAAGTTCGTGAATTTCATTGAAAAGCAAACCGAGTCAAAGAACCCTGACCCACCAGTGAAAGAAGTCGAGACAAAAGAGAATGTACAGTTCATTGAAAATGTCAAGAAACAACTTCCACCACGAATACCAAGAAGAAGAGTGAGAATAATGAAGTAAATAGATATTTTTATCTGAAGTAAATACATGCAGAACGAACAGTTAAACGAATTTACTCCAGCAGAGCATATTCATCAGATTCGCTCATATTTCGATATCATAGACAATGCAGTTCAAATTGGTGACACTAATAGAAAATATTCTGACGCAAAGATTCCATCACAACCTGGAACTGCTAAAGATAACACATGGGTAACATTCAATCTCTCACCTCCTGGTGAAAATATGTTGGACCTTTACAATACATTCATTACGTATAAAATGGAAGGTCAATTTATTGTAGATAAAGAAATTGGTTCAGGTTCCAATAAAACAAACCCACCAGGATTTTGGATTGGTTTCGATGACGCTTTCTATGCAGTTGCTGGATATCAAATCCTTGCAAATGGTCGTATCGTATATTCTCAAGACAACGCAAGAGAAGAAGCATATATAACTTCAAACTCACAAACTACCGAACAAATAAAGAAAGTCGATGTTTTTTCAAAGACTCGACATAAAGATGTATGGAGTCATTCGGGAACATGCAGAACAGGACAAATTGTTGGTGGTCCAATTACAGCAGGAAAATCATTTGATTTTAAGCTTCGTTTAAGAATTCCTGTTAGAAGATTCCTTCCATTAGAACTATTCGATTTATTCCAGCTTTTGCAGGAAACATTCAGCTTAAAGTAAAGTTCAGTAGCGACGCCTTACAATGCACATCTATATCTGTAAATGATATCATTGCTTTCAATCCAACTCTTAAAGTTGCATTTGCTTCAGGTTCAAATCCACCGACAAATAAATTTGTTCCATGGAATGAACCATTCACTATGATAACGAGTGCAACTGAAGCTAGTGGAACAGTTACTATTACAACTGTAACCCAGCAACTATTTCGAACAAAGATGGATTTTAATGAATGTTTTATTCATCCAAAGTCATTCTCTTTAGACCCTAACATTTATACAGAACTTGTAGAACATTATACAAACGAGGCTTTATGTTTTCCTGTTAAAGTTATGGATTGGATTCCTATGGATGGTTCATTCTCAAAGAATACAGATAGTTCAAGTGCAACATTTACAGCAGCTTATACGCCTATTAATGTTAAAAGTATTTGGGCACTATTTAGAAAGAAAGACAACTATTATGTTAATTTTGAGAACCCTAAGTTTAAATATCTTCAGCTTTCCATGGGAGCTTATGGAAATATGCCTGCAGAACCTGAAAAATCATATGGACCTGTATTTTATGAAATGGTTGCGAACGCTTGCAATACAAACAATGATATGATTGGATTTAATGAAGATGTTATGAGGTCATTGGTGGATGATGGTAGTGTGGAACATAAATGGGATAGCTATGACAACACACATTTCTTATGTGGTTTTCCAACAGAAGTGGACTTTTGCTTCCAGCAAGGTCAAACATCTACTGCTCCAATAACATACAAATTGTCTGTTAAAGGACCTATTGAACTAGCAACTGAAAATGTACCAAAGCCACTTATTGGATTTATGAGGGATTGTTGCTTTGCAATACAAGTAAGACAGTCAGGCATACCAATAATAAGACTTGACGACTATAACTTAGCAGCGGACGACAGTGAGGAATAAAGGATGAACGTTTATTTTTAAAGCTTATAAATGAGTTCTTCATCAAGCTCTCGTGAACCTTCACCATCTGTGAAACAAACTTTACCAAACGATTATGGAGCACCTATTGAATATTTCTTACGAGCTGCACAATGGCAAAGAGCAGTCTCACCAAGGTTAGGTGTTCCACCAGCTCCTGTCAAAAATAGCATTTGGTCAAGTCCTTATATAAGATATGGTCTCCCACTAGGTTTGCTAGCTACAGCAGGAGCAGTAATGATGTTGAAAAGAAACAAAGCAAATGTTATAAATAATACTGAAGTAGCTGAATTTGAACAAACTCCGACACCATCGCCAAAACCAACGTCAAAACCAACGCCTTCACAAACAACACCTTCAATGACTCCTGAACCTATGAAAGTACAAACTCCTGTTCAAAAGTCAACTCCAAAACCGACTCCAACATTTAAACCAGAACCTACTCCTCAAATAAATCGTAAAACTCCTGCGTTTCCTTACTGAAAAAATAATGTTAGTTTTATTTTATTTGAACATTTTATTTAGAGTAAAATGACGACTAAAGTCACTGAAGCAATGAAACAAAAATTTTTGGTAGAATACATTAAATCAGGAGCGGTTCCAGAAGGTTTTTACGTTCATACTATGAAGGATGGTAGAGTTCAGTTTAGAAAGATAAAGCAACCATTAGATAGAGAAGGTATATTAAGGAAGATTAAACTTCATGAGGACAACATTGCTGAACTTAAGAAGAAGTTAGAAGAGTTGGAGAAAGGAAGAGAGTTATAAAGTAATGAATTCAAGTGGGTGAAAAAAGAGGTGAAAAAAGAGGTGAAAAAAGAGGTGAGATTTCACCACTTCACCTAAATTTATTTTTTCACCTCTGACAACGTTTATTTTTAAGTTTATTTTATTATTTAGCGAGAACGTTTATTTTTATATAAATGACAGAACAAAAATATAACATTTCTACTCAGCAGGAATGAGACCCTTACTGACTATGTATTCGTTTAATGCTTGATGAAAACAATGGTACATATTATCGTATGGGTATACACAACGTCTGTTTCCATCGTCGTCGTATATGTAGAGCTCAAATCCAGTCCAACCTTCTTTTGTACAATATGTAGCTTTATTTAAGTATGCATTTATGTAGATAAGGCAATTTTCTTCATCGCTCCAGAAATAATTTTTCGTCATTGTTGAAATAGTTTTCGTTCCTCTGCGACCATAAGGAATGTATGCAATGAACTTTGCGTCATAAGGGATTGTAATATATTCAGGGTTTCTTTCATCGTCAATGGGTCTGTCTTTGTTAAAATGCATGTTTCTCAGTTTTACTTGAGTTTTGAATAGTTCACGGAAACGTTCTGGGAAAGAGTCATAGTAAATGTAGTCGGACATGTCTTTGTAATGAAATAAAAAATTTAAAAAAAATAAAAATAAGGTTATTTTTTATTTAGTGAGGACGGTAGTGAAGTCGTTAGTGAAGTCGTTAGTGAAATCATTAGTGAAGTCGTTTATGTGTCAGATAGTTTTGTAAATATTTAAGGTTAAGTTGGTGTTATGGTTGTGTTGTAAAATATACGTTACTGGTTTCGTAAAGTGTCAAAACCGCTAAGTGGTGTACGGAGGCGCGCAGTGCCGCTGTACACGACTTAGGGATACTAACTTTAAATGATGAAAGGTCATATTGCATAAAATATGTTAAAAGGTTATCATAAAATTCCTTTGTGCATGAATCCATTAAATTCTTGAAGTAATCAAATTGACCCTTGAATTTACCATTAACTCTTAAAACTACGTATCTTCTGTCTCCAACTTCAATTTTGACAGGGTAAACGTTATTAGTTACGAAAATGAAGTTTGCAACGTTCTGAGCAGTTCTTCTGGGTTGATTCTTTTCATTAATTCTAATCTCATTATCCGTTATAATTGATTTCAAAGCGTTGAAGTTTGCGAGTCTGTCTTCACCTACATTCTTGAGTTCATTAAGTACAAGAAACATTTTATTTTCAACTACTGAGTTGAAATTACCCGTTAGCTCACTTATTTCAGTAATGTTTTTACATGAATAACCTGCGAGAAGTTCAGAAATAATGTCTGTAAATCTGTTTTTACCTGTTCCCTGAAGTCCTTTCAAAATAATTGCTGTTTCATTCTTGATTCCAGGATGTTGAATCATTGATGCAATCCAGCCGAGAAGGTATTTATACACTTCATCATTATTATCACAAATGGCTTCTTTAATGAAATTCATAAACATCTCAATTTTTGAGTAATCAGGCTTTTCAAGAATGTTGTATTTATAACCCTGAAACGTTGAGAAAACATCTGGGGAATCAGATTTAAAGCAAACACCCTTAACGGTTAATGAGGATAATTGATTTAGTAGTACATCCCATGCTGTTATTGTTTTACCTTCTTCTTTAAATAATTTAATCATTTTGAGTGACTCTTTCATGTTTGACTGAAGAACAAATGATATTTGATTCATTTTGTCGTGTATGTTGTAATCTTTCTGAATGAAATATTTGTTTCCACAATCTACAAAACGGATTACACGTGATAAATCCTCAATTACTTCAGAACTGTTTTTATACTGATGATTTTCAGCCTTGCGTCTAATATCTGTTATCAAAAACGAGTCATCAAGTTTGATATCAAATGTTATTTTTGACTTACGTAATAAAGGTAAAACATATTCATATAATATTCCTTTTGATAAAGTTTTAGAATCTTCACCAAAACAAATGGAGAAGTCATTAAATGTGCATATCTACTACGTGCTTTTTCAAAATTACTTTTTGCATTTTCAGTTAAGTTGCAGAAGTTATAAACGTTATCGTATGCTTCATTAATTAAATGATTAGGTAACGAATTAATAGCTTGAAACAGTGTGAATAATGTTATTTCTTTTTCTAAATTCATGTTTCCACCATCATTATGTACTTCAAAATCACAGATGCCATCAACTATGCTCTGAGCTAGTTTATCGTCAATGTTTACATCTTTGTTTTCATTCATTATACTCTTTATTTCTTCGCTCTTCTGTTCAACTCTTACCTTAATATTCAAATCATTTAATATATCATTCACTGTTCTAGTTAATGTTGAATCATAACTTCCACGAATGAATGAGTATGTATTGATTGGTTCTGTTGCATTCTTTCGAACTCTTGAATCAGCCATAACCACTAAAGAACGTTTTGAATCATCCATAGAAGTCATTATGTCAATATCATAATCATTGCAGGAATAACATTTAATCATTCTGTTCGAAACTGCATAGAAGAAATTAGTGTTGCAATAAATGTGAAGACCTCCTGATGCGGTTTTAACGATAACATCTTTATCCGAAAGTTTTGATAAAATGTCTTTTCTAACTGTTTCTTTAAGTTCATCATTGTACGATTTATTGATATCAACATCTATAATCGTTAAATTTGAAATTTTATTTACTAATAAAGCTGTACCAGTTTTCCTTCCTCTTCCTCCATCATGTTTGAGGTAGTTATGTAAATCAATCATGTTTTCACCGATTCTTTCGTTGAGGGTTTTAGTTTCTGCCACAACTAATTCCACAACTAATGAATCAATAACTTTTTCATCAGAAACGATAAAGTTGCTGTTGTTGTTTGTTGCTGTCATTTATATAGGAATAAAAAAATAAAAATAATTTTAAAACTAACTTTATTTTTGGACTGCATCAAATTTTCTGTGATGTTGTCAAAATGTCATGTTGTCTCATTTTTTCAGAGAAGTGAAATGACCTGGTGACCTGGTGACCCCTTCAGTTCTTCAAAAAATAATTAATTATTGAATAACCCATGATGTTGTCAAAATGTCATGTTGTCTCATTTTTTCAGAGAAGTGAAATGACCTGGTGACCTGGTGACCCCTTCAGTTCTTCAAAAATAATTAATTATTGAATAACCCATGATGTTGTCAAAATGTCATGTTGTCTCATTTTTCAGAGAAGTGAAATGACCTGGTGACCTGGTGACCCCTTCAGTTCTTCAAAAATAATTAATTATTGAATAACCTAATTCATTTACTCACAATATTTTTGTACAAAACGACCCCAAGCTTTTAACTTCTTTTCTGTAGTTCATCCATTACTTCATTACCTAATTAATTACAGACATAAAATATATTTAGTTCATTCGGTAAGCCTAAACCCTTTGGGTTAAGTGTGTTCATTGAACTCTATACCATGCGAATACAGTCATAAATGGTGGCATGTATTCTTTACTTTGTCCGTTGTTTGTGTATATCCTGAAACGAAATGTGTATGGTTTCCTTCTCCCTGAGTGTCACTCCAGTAACAATTTATGGCAAACTTAACGTCGTCTTTAACATCATATCCTTTACCTTTTGTCATTCCTGACCAATCCCAATATCTATGCTTATGCCAACCTGCTTGAGATGTGCTTAAATCTATGTAGTGACTATGTGCAGGTAAATTTTCACCTGAAATCGTTTTACTTCCTCCTGTTTCCTTTGAAGAGTTTGCACAATACAAAAACCTGTCAACTATTTGTTCCCATGCACCAACACCAAACATTACTTGAGGACCTCTTGCATCCATAGATGTATAAATAGAACCTACTGGGTTCATTAAATCAAACATATGAGATATTATAGGATTGTCTCTTTTGAACTTAAAATATAGTGTAACTATTTCAGGTTTCTTCTGGTTTGTGTCAGAATATTTTTTATAATATAATCTTATGTTTTCAGGGTAGGTAAAATCTTGACTATAATATTTATTTCTGTCATCTGTATAATAATATACTATTCTCGTTTTTTCTATTGCATTATATCTTTTATATCTATAATAATCTAAATATAATGTTAACTTTTGTTCATCTACATGTGGTGTTCTGACATCATCTCCATAGTCATAATAATATGGTGCTGGAGCTGGGTCAGCAATGTCATATCTGCCATTTCATAAACTCTTAAATATTTCTTTTGTTCGTCTCCATATAAGTTTAAGTAGCAGTTGTTGTCTAATGGAACTTTAACTTTGTGCCATCATTCTTTTTATAACTTACATACATTTCATTGTTATTTTTCGGAATGAGTTTCACCGTATACCATTTTTTAAGGAGTGTACAAACTGCCATCTAAATATTTATTTTCTTCATTGACAGAAAAGTCGCCAACAATAGTTTCAATATTTTTTGTTCCTATCAAACTTTGGTATATTTCGTTAACATATTCCTTATCTGCCTTCTTCCCTAACTCATCGTTAACATATGTTTTATCCGCTTTAAGGTCTAAACATCCTGAAACCCATCCTTTATCAGCTTTAGTTTTTAAAATCTTTGATGTCCATTCATGATACCATTCAACCATTTCTTTAATTTCATTATCTTTTTCATCCACATATTCCTTATCTGTCCTCTTCTTTAACTCACTATCCACATATTCCTTATCTGCCTTCTCCATTATGTCATTTAGGAAACCTTTTATGAATTCCTCATTTAAATTAAATCTTCCAATCTTCAAAACTTTAGGAAATGCATTTAATGCGTAATATCTCTGTTCTTCTGGTGGAATTGATGTTATATCATCCGTTATTCCTTTAATTTTTGAATTCATAAATAAAATTTCTTTTATATTTGATATCACTGCACCACCTTTGCAAACGAATTCGAAATGGTCATTTTTCAATACTATCTCCAAATCTCCATATTTCAACCTTTGCGTTTGTTCTGCGTCTTTGAATTATATGCATATATGGCGTATGTAATGGTCTGAGGGACCTGGGTGCTTTTGTGCCTTAAGTTGTTGTGGTTGCTGTTGTTTAATCATTTATTATGATTTAAGAATAAATATTTAATCCGTTATCTCATCACCTATTTTTTCTATTTGAAATTGCCATAATATTTCATTCATGAATTCTAAATCACAATCAAAATAGGTCAGTTACTCTAAATTTAATATTTGATAAATCTTTTGAATGAAGAATAAATGAATTCCCGGATAATTGAAACGGATATGATAAAGAAAATATGTTTAAGTT